TGAACCGCTATATACTAGGGATGCCGCAGTCGATTATATTGGTAATCGATTGTTACGATGATGAATCGAGCATTGTGAGTTTGTGAACATTTATAATAAAAACAGACTTTAAGACGCTTAAGTGGGTGCACATGTGCGACAGAGATCGCATAAATATCGTCTATATGCATATGCGTGAGAAATTGTATGAATAGGCTTTGTAAATTAATTAAAGTAGATTTAAACTAGGCAGTAGCGCCCGACTATGTAATACAGTTAAAAAAGCAAATCATTCGTCACCTTTTTGTTTTGTTTTGTTTTTTTACATAAATGCGCGCATTAGCTGGGAAGCAAAATATAGCTTATGCGTGTTTTTTAGCTTAACCCGTAAATGCATACCTCGGGTCTTTAGCGACCCGGGACATCATTCTCTACCCTCTCCCTCCTAATGTTAGACATCAACTTTCTTAGTATTCCTCAATCTATTCATTATAAACAATATAACAAGAAAAAAAATCATAAAATATAAAAGAATTCTTGTTTTCTGATTACTTTTTTTTTTGTGTATAGGGTCGCTACAGACCCGAGGTATGTAAATGTGTAAGTATTTTTTTCCTGCGCGACTTACCTGATGACTCAAGTTGTGCAATGCATATTTTTTCCTCAAGGTGGCGCTGTTTGATACACAATGTCAATGATGACGTGATGTTTCACTCATAATCAGAAAAAAATTGAACTGGCTTGAATGGCTTTACTGCAGAGCAATTACTATACGCAATGAAATATAAATGTCACTGCCATTTGATGCTGGATGTGGTGGATAAGCTGCCAGTGATCAAAATATTGAATATGAAGTCATTGAAAAGGATAGTTTTGAGAAAATGGTTGAGATCGTCAATGTGAGGCAGATGCTGAATGTAAGTGCGCTCTGACGATGACAGCGATTTTAAAATCATCTGCTCAAATTGAACCCTTTTCAAAAGGAAACGAAATATGCTTTATTTTATTCTTATGTAATTGTTCTTAAAATATCAAGATCATTTTTTGCTATTGCAGCAGTTAGAGGTCCATCGGTGCTGGATATATAGGTCCGGGTCGCTAAAGACCCGAATATGTAATAATGATTGGCGAAAGATTCATGCATTTAAGGGTTAAGTCACACAATGTTGTCAATGTTGCCAGCATGGCTTACTGCGCTTATAACATTTCTAAACACCTTTTAAAGGGTTATGGCTTCTTTTTACAACACCACAGTAATAGTTCACCCTGATACTAACCATGTCTTTTGAAGCCTGTATAACTTAATTTCATCTGTGGAACATAAAAGGGGATAATTATAGCAGAATGTCCCAATTCAGTTTCCCTGCATGGAAGTGAACAGTGTAAACATTCTTCAAAACACCTCATTTTAAGTTTCTTGAAAGAAAGAAATTGAGTTTGTAATGACGTGATAATGAGTGAATGTGAATTTTCATTCATTTTTAGTAAACTATTCCTTTAAAGGGGTCACGTGACGTTGCTAAAAATAACATCATGTTGTGTATTTGGTGTAATGAAATGTGTTTATGCGGTTTAAGGTTCAAAAAACACATGTGTCCCGGAACGACGAGACAAAACCAATAAAACCCATTATAAACGAGGCATTTGTTGCATCCAGTGGGGACGTAATTACTGATTATAATGACTTATACGGTCTTTTTACGTGTTGCATCGCGCCGCGTAAACATAAAACCATATCTGCATTTGTGATCGGAGAAACGACAAACAACAAGCGCTACTCTACACTGCTCAAAACTCGCGTTTGAATCGTCAGT